ACCTCTGAAAGGCATTATCTTATTATGTTTTCAAAATGCAATTTTGTTGCAATGTCAACTGAAGATGCAAATGGCTACAGATGCACAGTACTGGGATGTATCTTGGAAAGTCTTAGGGAATTCAAGCTGAGAAACCTTATAGGAAGAGGTCACCACTTCTACAGTTTCCATACTTCCCTGTGCTGTGATTGGCTTGTATGGGACTTAACAATATAGTCAAGGAATAGAAAAATGTCAAAATGAATTTTTTCATTTTGGTGATGAAGTGCTAGCTTTGCTTGCCAGCATGCAGGGTTCAATAAAAGCAGACAGGTCTTCAAAAAATTGCAGCACAAATAGATGAAGTCCTTAAAGTAATATAACTTCTGTCATCTAGATATGAAATATAGACTTAAGTGCCCACTGAAGTAAAAGCTGACCACACACTCCATAGATAAGTGTTAAAGTTTTCTTAGAGTGTCTTGAGCTGAGAAATGTTTTAACTACATAGCTCCTTGCCACAACAGACAGAATGAAAGCATTTGAAGTTAAATACATTTTTCAAAGGAAGAAAACAAAGCATCCGTAAAGAAAGAAAGGCATTTCACAGGAGGAGGTCTCTGGATAGCTACTGTTTTCAAGGAAACTGCAATTAGTTATGGAAGGAGAAGTAGAACTTAGTTGTATTTCAATAGCATTTATAATGATTTCAGTAGTTGGAACGCTGATAGGTACGTGCAGGGGGTTGGTTTCAAGATTTCCTTCTGAGACAGAAGGTCAGGATTCCTGTGGTCTCCTGTCATATTTAATTCATATCCTCTGGCCTCTTCACCACATTTATTGAATTACAGGAATAAAATCCAATGAACCAAAAAGAAGAGAGGACAGGGAGAATTCTTATTTCTTTTACATCCCTACTGCACAACTGACTTCAGTGGGCTTGTACGAGAGCACCTTAGAGCAGAATTTGGAAGGAGGGGGGAGGAACAAGCTAGTATAAGCCCTCTCATCACCCCCATAATTGCATCCAAGGAATTTATTGCAAGGAGCAACTATTTGCATGTGGGAGTAAGATCCAATTTCTACCAGTCAAGAGTCTCCCTCCGTACTTTTCGAGGCTAATCTCTGTGTACTCCCAGTTTGTTTTTATCAGATTCCTTCTTGCCACAAATGAGATGGCTGTAGAATAGCTTTTCAAAACCATTCTTCAGAAAAGCATCACTGGCAAGTCATCACAAGCACTGAGAGGCAATCCTCTAATATGTTAAATATATCCGTTTAGGGAAGTGCCCTGTTGGCATGCTTATCATGATGATTCCCTGCAATCATCATAATTAAATTGATACAACCTTTATCCTCCCTTTCCAAGTGAGTTGCCATAAGCACAGGGTTTCCAACAGGCTAACATCATGGACTGGACTGCTGGAGCATATGGAGAGTAGCTCCTCTGCTCCTTTTACATTATTTTAATTGTCCCGTATGCTGCCTCCAAGAACTAGGTTGTCTTTTGTGTAAAATTGTAGATCACTCATATCTACACACTGTGCTTTAGAAACCCAAACAGTTAAAATACTGCAAGTCCCTAATGTGAGCACAGTCATATCAGAACCTCATACAAATAACCTGTACCAGTATCCAATAACATCTTTACAACAGCATAATTTGTTCTTCGAGTTAGGTATGAGCAAATCTGGTTGTTAAGTCTAACCCAAAATATTAATTGTAAAAAGCAGACATAAAATGTGTTTAAATTGTATCTGAAACTGCATACTTACCAATATTAGCATTTGAATTTTTGGAAATGTAATAGCTAATCCATAATGAACTGTTTTCTGAGCTACAGTGTACATTTTTGTTTAAAACTTGAATCTGCTTAGCTTCCAAAAATTAAGTGCTCTGCTCACGTACATGTCAACCTATGGGGTGGCTGCCTTTCCACTTAATACTTTTAATAAAGGTGACCAGATGCTTTGTGTTTTTAATGGCTTGTTCTGCATCCCAACAAAATGTCCCTGTTTTGGCTGTGATTGCAGATGGTTCATTCTGAAACCCTGCCCAGCTGCCCTGACACAGCTGAGACAAGGCACAGTTAAAAAAAAAGCCATCTGTGCAAAAGAAGTGGGCTGGAGGAGTGCTTTGTCAGGAAAAGATTGTCATTTCTTGGTCACTATGTTTTCTAGGCATCCAGCAACCCATAAGTCCTAGGGATCCAAACCCTCTGCCTTTGCAGTTAGGTTTTGCAGTTATACCCCATGTCCCACCATATTATCTTCCTTCACCCCTTAATTAGAAACCCTTCAGCCTGCCCTGCTGCATAAGATCATGTGTAGATCAAACCTTTCTGTAAAATGTAAGACCTTGATCCCACTCTCATTATTTCCAATCATATGGCAAAATTCCTGACCCTGTAGCAGCATCAGCCAAACCTCATGCTTGAAAATGCAAAAGGGATTAATTTATGGCCTTTCTGAATAATTAGCTCTGCCCAGCTCTGTACTGGCATCACTCTGTTGCCAGCCCTGCCAAGGGAGCCATCCTGCAACCCCCACCAGTGTGCCAGGTGCTCACAGCCTGGCTGGGTTCAAGGGCACAACCCTCCCCGCAGGCAGAGCCTCCCTGCGGCGGCCAGAGGCAGGAACGCGTATTTGAAGGTAAAGTCTAGCCCTGAGCCTGCGGTCGGGATAAGCCGCTTCAAGCCTTGAGTGTTGGGGCCCCACAGCACCTCCTCTGCCCGGCGGGCGCTGCCCGGCAGCAGCGCTCCCACCTCCACCCGGCCCCGGAGCTGGAGCCGGGCAGCGCGGCAGGACACGGCCACGTCGGTTCTAAAGTCAAGGTTCCTGTCAAGTTTTCTTGTTCTCTAGCATTTGAAAGAACCATTGCAACTCATCCGGCATGCATATGAATGACAAATATGCTTCAGAGGCAATAAATTAGCAATTTCAAGGCTTTACTTCCCCTCATGGACTAATTGCCAGAGATTATAGTATATTATGAGAGAGCAATGATACTAATGCCTAAATATGCTTCAGTGATCCTCAACAACCATGCTGTTTAAATGTCAATGCAAGAAAGCTCTTTATTATGAGATTAAATATTATTTTGTAGCTATGCAATAGGAACTTCCCAGGCTTCATGCCTGCAATAATAGTGCCTTGGAGCAATATATATTGGACAAACTATGCTTTTTAAAAAATGTGCACAGTAAAGAGTCCCAAAATATTTTTGTGCTGTAAACCTGAACAGCATTACTGATCAGAAAAAGGATCTTGGTGTATTTTTATTTTATATTTGTTATTAACTGCTTCTGAATTCTTTCCTCTATATTAACACTCGTGTATCATCACTGTCTAAGTAGAGAAATTCTTGTTTTCTGTTAGTGTGAGCAGGGAATCAAAACTCAAAAACTCAAATCCCTTCTCTTTTTTTTTTTTTTTTTTTTTTTTTTTTTTTTTTTTTTTTTTTTTTTTTACATGTCTAAATACTATTGTCTTGAACAGATACCTTTGATAGTCCTACCTCTCACACATAAATAAATCTGTTGACCCCTGACATTGTGAGAACCCCTGGAAATTAGACGGAAGCTCCAACTTTCAGGTTCAGCTGTTGGCACAGAGAACAGAACTGTCTCTAAGCTGTAACTCCACACTTCTGGAGATGACAGTGATCATACACTCAGGTGTGAATTTAAAAGGGAGAGGCTAAAAAGCCTTTAGCATCCTATTAGTGTCACATGGAACTCCCACACTGTGTGGTCTTGTCACAGAGCTGTGCAGCCATCCCTTATGGATGACAGCAGCATGCGACCCTGCAGAACACTCCAATGTTTTTTCAAGAAAACACTAATCACTGCAGTGGGCACTGATGGCTGCTCTGCTGTCCAGATCCAACATGCCATTCCTCCATCTGTGTTTACAAAGGAATCTGGTACAATGTCTATCATATTGCATAAACGCAAATCAAAAGAGCTACAACATGGCCAAAGATCACACCTCATGTTCTCTAGTATTTGGAGATATTTATTCATCTGTTTTTCAAGTGGTAACTTAGAATAATAAAGGTAAAACTCACCTGCTAAATATCAGTGGAAGCTCTAAACATATTGGGAATGTCTTTGAACCACAGGCTTGATTTCAAGTAAACTTATTCATTATAACTAATAATTATTCTAATAGTATAAAAAACATATAGAAAACATATCTGTGGGGATAGATCATGTAAAATTAAGGACACAAATTACAGAAAGACAATTGCTAATGATATTATGGAATTCTCTCTTGACAGTGTTTTTGTTTTTTTCCTTAGGAAGCACTGTTTCTTAAACAGCCTGCAGATCTTTTCCTGCTCCTGAAGTGAAGAGGTACTTCATATATGGATGACCAGGGAACTAACTAGAAAGAGTTCCATTATGCTCAGCTATAGCAGGACACCTGGATCCATGTCCTAATTTTTTCTGCTGCCACCTGGCAATCATTAATTCTGAATTGTGTTGTTTCATCTTGGCTGATTTCTTTAGCCATTTTATGTCTCATTTATAAAATATAATGCTTGTTTACCACAGAATGTCTGAAGGTCTTTCTGATGCTCGGGTAAAAGACACCTGCCATATATGCTCAGAAAAGACATAAACTGCTCTGTCATTTGTAACTTTTTAAAAGATCTTCATCTATTAAAACCACAGTGTGACTGACAAGGAATATGCTGAAAGGCCATGAAAATTCTTTTTCTGCTCTTCCGGGCAGACAATCATCTGACATCTTTTTTGTTATGTCTTGACTCAGAATACATGATGGGAAGCCATGCCTTTATCTTTATAACAGAAATACATATACAATATACAATACTGATGTTGAACAAATAACCAGAAGTAACACGCTGACACCGCTCAAAGGATAATGATGCGGACTTTAAACTCCATATTTGGCCACTTTCATGCAAATATTGTTTGAAAAACAGATTAAAATCCTCCTTAATTTGGTGCAGGTACCTTACGAGATGCCCCGCTACTGACTGCTCTCACTCACCATGTATCCCGGCGCACATGTGCACCTCCCTGTGACGCCATCACAATCCGCACCGTTCTGGCAGGGGCAGGGCAGCTGGCAGCCTTTCCCGTAGTACCCAGGGGGACAGGATTCATTGCAGTAGAGTCCAGCCCAGCCGACTTTGCAGCTACATTCTCCAGACAATGGATGGCAACTAATGAAGACAGAGAGACAGACATTAATGAGATGTGGACACGAAGGCAAAATACGGCCTGTAACCAGCAGTAAAATATTTCCCATACAGTGGCAGCAAGAGTCACACTAAGAACAGAGCAAACCTGGGAACTGTCAAGGATGGTGAACATCAGCAGCCATGTAACTTAGGAAGGGAATAGGGAATATCGTGCTACCTGGCACACCACTTCCAAACATCTGGGAATGGCTACAGCACTGGTAACTTTGAAGTTTATTCCATTCTCATCTCAGTGTGACCTGGATTACTGCCATTAACCACATCATCATTAATCCATGCTGTTGTAAGCCATATATCTGCCAGACTATTTGGCTGTAATAAGGCCAATTATATTTGTTCAGGGTTAGGAGAGATTCCAATGGATGGAGGAATGCAACTGAGAGTTGTGAAGATAAACCTGAGTCCTCTATCCTATCCTATGTTTTAAAACTTAGTGCCATCTCTCACTCTTACCTCTTAAAGAAAAGTGCTTTGGAAGGGAAAAAATCTCCTTAGAAAGAGTTTTGCAGGGAATATTCATCCCTAGTGAACAGAACTGATCTCTACCTGGATCCCTGGGATTTATTTGGGGCAGGAGTCAACAGGAGCCCTGGGAATAAATCTCTGCTGTGCAGGGAAATGAGTAAAGTTCATTTATGCTGAATAACGACCACAATAACCAACATTAATCCTCTAGCTCCCATTTCTATTCAGACAATTCCCCATTGTTGTGAAAGCAGACAGAGAGAAAAGCAGAAAGGAGACATAAGCCCAAAAGACCAGACTGGTAGGTGGAAGACTTGTCCCTTTGTTCCATCTACTATGAAACGATTTATCTGCATTCACCACTTTCTCTTCTACAAACAGAAAGAGCATCTCCCTGTTTTCCCTGGGGCACTGACCTCCCACAGCAGGAGAGCCACACTGAGGCTGTGCCCAGGGGCTAAAGAAGGAGGAAAGGCTGGAGATGTGTTTAGTCCTGGTTTGAAGAGATGGAGGTTGCTGAGGGATTAGAAGGCAGAGCACAGGGGGATATCTGCTTTGGGGAGATGGTGTGGTTAAAAGAGAGAGCACTGGGGTGGAGAGGGCATCTGATCTTTGGAAAAGGACCCTATGGGGCCAGCTGGGAGTGTGAGGCTTCACTGGAGAGCTCAGTCTGCTCTAGGGGACTCTGCACCATAAGATTATGCCGTAAGAGCACTGTCTAGCCCTGGGTGAAAAAGATGAGAAATAATACTGCTACAAATCAGATTTTCTTTATTATTCTCAGAACAAGAAATAGAGCTCTGCAAGATGACACCTCTCTATAGACCCATCTCCTGGTTTTGCCTCTTATAAGCTATTTGTTTTTCTTTACGATTATTTATTGCTATAGTTTAATATTTCAGATGTGACTGAATGGGATTCGTTACATTTATAGAATTAATACTGTGTATGTTAATTTTCAAGGTAGCCTCATAAAATACAATTCCCAAGTATGTTTCTAGAGAGGTTAGTCACAAACTGTTGTCAGTAAGAATGATCAAACTTTGTGAGTGTCATATGTTTCATGATAAATATTGTTTTACTGACTAATTAAAACAATTCATCAGCTTAACAAACTACCATCCATTAAATTCTTCTGACAAAGCAGCCCCTGAAATTATGGCTGTTCACAAAACACCTCTTAACTTTCAGATGAAAATAATAAAAGCTCATTTTTCCCCCCCTCTGCATATATTAATCATTACCTAATAGGAGCAGAAAGCTAAACATTAAAGAAATATTTTAAAGTGGATTTTTTGTTTCTCTGTTTTCAGTACTACTGCACACATCATATGGTTCCATGAGAACTGCATCTGTTGGCTAAATTAAATCTTTCAAATGTAATATATGATCATGGCAGTTGGAATCAGTCTATGACAATTCAATTGAAAATACTATACTCAGTAAAAATTTCTACTCCAAGGTTAGCTCTTTCATCAAAATGGACTGCTTTTTTTTGCATGGGATGCAGGCTATATATTAAGGACTAAAAATCATTCTAATATGCACTAAAATAAGAAGTAAGAACCAAACAGGCTTTGCAGAACTGTATGCAGAAGGGAAGGGCTTGGACTCCAAAACAAGGTCCAGTAGGAGGTTAAGACTGCATTCTGCCCCCTAAAGCCTTTCTCCACTCTTTCATGAGACTGTGAGCTAGGAAAAGCCCACTGCAGGTGTCTGGGTCCCTGCATCCATAAAATCTTCCCACTGAAGCAAGAACGATTTTATTATCAGCCTGAGTTATGTCAGAGTTTTGGTTTTCTCCTAGATGAAGAACTTGAAGTCCTTCAGTACTCTGAAATATTTTACTTCTGCTGTCTTACAGAGTGCTGGCATTTTAGTATTAGGAAAAATCTTCCCCATTAAATTCCAGAGTTCTGGTACCCGTAACAATAGGTCTGGGCAGGCAGCAACAGTTGGTGAATAGACTGTACAGAAGGGGAAAGGAAACTTGTTGACAGTAGCAGAATAAAATCTTTCCAAAGTTTCTGGAAATCCGAACAGTATCACACCCTAACAAGCCAAAGGACCTCAAACCTACAAAGGTGGGTCTGAAACAAGGTGACAGGCTGTGTCTGGCCAGGGAACACAGCAGACTTGTCTCAAATAATGTCCTGAGTCACAAACATTTGTTTGACAATTAAGGTGCCCTGATGCAGTGTTAACCCGAAGACTGCTGCAATTTAGATGCTTAACCAAAATTCACAAGACAGCTGTTCTCTCCCCAGTCCTGCCAGTGAATCCTGGCCATGGAACTTACATATTCTGCATTTCATCTTTCCCATCTGTAAAATGATGCCTTTCTTTCTTTGGAAACCTTCTTAAGATCTGCGGCTGATACCACAAAATAGTGCTAAATCCTTATTATTGTTTTTTTCTATGTTGGCATGCATGAACTATTCCAGTAATTAAAATCATCAGAGTTACATAATAAATATCTTGCAGCTCACAATGTAAAAATAATGTATATATGCATAAATTAGTAAAACCTCTCTCTTACGATATTGGTATTCTGTGAAATTTAATTCTGTTTGAACTATCTACCTAGACATGTAACTATAGCTAGGAAACTCCTCTGTTACCCAGCCAGCCATCTCTGCATCCAGGCCATCCAGTGAACTAAATGCCAGCTACGCTGAAGCTGAAAACTCTGAGGCACTTAATGGCAAATACATTAATGCAAAGAACAAGCAATACAGTTGGTAGTGGGAAATTCTCATATAAATCCTCCCTTCCTGTTCTGCATGTACCCTTCAAGGTCATAAGTCTATGTAATATTTTGCCATCATGGGGTGCAGCATGTCTTCACGTCACCAAGAAACTGGAATTAAGAAATAAAACCAGTTTCTCCAGAAAAGGATCCCTGAATGGATGGGTAAGAGAATGTAAGGCCTCCAAAAGGATCCCAGAAGGCAAACCCACTAACAGCTGCTTTCCAAGAACTTGCTGAGAGCAGGAAGAGAACTTTTGGCAGTGTTATACATTATTATTGTGCATTAAATCTTAACACCTTTTATCTCTTCAAATCTCTTGCATAAAAACCCAGAGTGAACGCCAGCAACCAAGTGTTGCTCTGGCACTAGGCTGAGCAGACGTGGAAACTGGAAGCTGTCCACAGGGCACAACACAGCATGAGAAAGAAATTGCTCCACAGCTCTTGCTGCAGTAGGAAAGCATCAAGGCTTAAAAGGTCTTTGTGTCTTCCTTCTCTTCTCATGACCCTGATCTGGGAAAGACATTACCAAAGGCCTTTGGCTCCACATACCGACTTCACACCACTGCTCAGGAAAGGTGGGTTGCTGAGACTATTCCAGCTACTTCTTTCCCTCACTGCTTTCAGAAAGGCAAGCCAGGATTTTATGCCTTTCTGACTGATGTAAACTGTCTCAACATGCTTTTTGCATGGGAGATTTTTTTACAGGTATATCATTCCCTGTGGAAGGACAGCCCAAGTCACTAGTGCATTCTAAATACCTAGTTCTGGGGTTGTTCAGAAGTCCTGTGCAAAGTGCCTTTCAGCATGCTTTGATGCAGAAATTATTGGATGATGTTCTTCAGCTGTTACTATGCAGGAGGTTAGATTAGATGATTGAACTGGTCTCTTCAGACATTAAAGTAGATAGATCTATGGAAACAGAAAAGCTGATTGTGTATTTCTTAATGTTCCTCCCCAACTGCTCCTCAAAGCCCTCAGAACTTTCTGTTCCAGCCAGCGCTCCCATAACCAGATCAACTGAGTCAAAACCATTGACAGAAATAAGCAAGCTTCCCTCACCTTCTTTCAAGTGTTTAGATAATTATCCTACACACTTCAGTACCACAACAAGTATCCAACAGTTTGAGCTGCTTCAGGGGGAAAGTAGGTGGCTGTCAGTAAGTGAATCACTTTGGAAGATCACAGTTCCAGTAACAATAAAGATTCAGGGGAGGAATGGAAGGAGGTAGGTGAGAAGCATGATGTATGGGTCTGGTTAAACAATCAGTAAAAAGTTTGTTCAGAATATGGAGTGCCTTTGAAGAAGGTCATTTTCCATCAACTCTGACACTCCTGGGCTCAGGAACTGACAGCACTCTGAGGAGCTCATTGAAAAGTGGAAAGCTGAAATACCATGGAAGAATAAAAGAACATTTACAGATCTACAGCTTGCTGATACCTCTTTGTTCCCTAAAAGCAGTGATAAGATGTAGGAAAAGGAAGATTTTATCAATGGAGAGACTAGACTCATTTATTAAGGAAACGGAGATATCATCTTAGACGGGGATGCTGCAAGTGACGGAGCAGTGATGGGAAGGAAGGCACAGAATGTATCTGTCAGACAGCAACCAGGCACAGGTCAGGTACACGGTGTGTAAGAACAACCACATGCCCAGAAAAGACCTGTGAGAGGATTGAATCCTCCCCCTTTATGGGCTCTCTGAAACTTGAAAACTCTCATTTCTTCACAGCTGGATGGTGCTAGTCTGTTTCAGGAAGGATCTTCTGGCAGATCCTCAGAGCACCCCCCAGGTAGTCCTCTGAGTAACCTAGGATGAGTTCCTGCACCCTCAAACCTTCAGTCTTCTTCCACTTAAATGAACCTGAATGAATTGAGCTGTTAGCTGAGAAACAGCAATCCAGCTCAGCATTGCCCATGGCCTGCCATTTCCCTGACCTATATGGGAAAACAGGCACACAAGCAGGTTTCTGCAGGCTAGGAGAGGGGGTGAAGTCACACTGTGTCAGCTACTGTCCAAGAGCATTCTCTCACCCTCCAGCACACTCAGAGAACAGCTTTCAGTGAGGAGCAGTATTTATGTATTTATGGCAGGTTGAAGTTGTGCACACTGGCAGGAATTTAACCTTGGCTCACCCTGCAGTAACTCTTGTAACACCCCCTACCCTCAACAACATTAAGCTTTTGCATATAATTTTTAGTTTATGCCTCAGGGATGTTACTTCTGCAATGATTTCATGATACACAAAATAATCAGGAATGATAGAAGCCTGCTGTACAGAGCTGCCTTTGAGGTGTCAAACACGTTGGATCCTTGCTGTCAAACCCAACAGAGCTAGGGTTACCCTTCTGTAGGGGACTCGCACCACCAGAATCACAAGGCTTTGAAATAATCCATTGGGAGCTCGACTTCCAGTTAAGCAAAACCTCACCACTCGTAGTTCAACCTGAATTCACAAGAAAGATCACCTGTTTATTTCCAAGACTGAGACAAATAGAGTCTATCTGAAGCACACAAACAGATTTGCCTGAAGTGTTTGTGTGTGTGTGTGTGTGTGTGTGTGTGTGTGTGTGTGTGTGTGCATGCACACAAATTAGGTGGTATTACTTGCATACATAATTGAGGAGGGTGTTTATATCTTAGCAGGCTGCAGGACTGCTAGGTAGGTTTGCCATCATCAGCAAGACAGTCAGGTCCCTACCTGTCTGTATTAAATTTGAAGGATGTCCCTATCAAGGGCATATTTACTTGGGCATCAATTATCCCCACCTCCCTCTGAAGTCTACACAATCCTGAACTGGCTGTGAATGCTTAACAGTAATGGACAGAAAAAGGAGGAAATCAAGGGGGAACTGAGGGGCTCAGCATCTTGCAGGCGTGGTTTGGAATGTGGGCACCACAGTCCAGCAGAATAGCTGAGGCCAGGGTGTTTCCACTGTCCAGGCTGCCTTTACTCTATGTGAGGGAGTGAGAAACCTCCAAATAGCAATTCTGGCAGTCAGTAAACACAGCAAGGAGGTGCAAAAGGTAACCAGAGAGTAAACCATCGAAACCTGACCATTTAAGTGAGGCTTCTTACATTTTAGATGTACTTCCCTGATAATTGTTTTCCTGAATATTTCACAGATACGTGTACTGAATGAAGAGCAAAAATAGGCACACATAAGAAGAAATGTCTATTTTGACACCATTGATTTTGTTGCAGTTTTATGGATTGTCTTGAGGATATTGATTTCAGTCTGTTTATACATCTGCCTCAAGTGTTTTCAACATGGTAATTTGCCACAAGACATAAACTGAAGCATATTAGGTTTCATTTTTAAAGTCCCCTTGCTGTCTATAGATCTAACAAGAAAACCCATGTCCCACAAAAGGAGCCAAAATAATGGATTTGAGCAAATTTATCTATATTTTTTTAACTTCAGTAGGTTATTATACATACATATGGGCATCATATGACAGTTCTTATGCCTAAAAGACTGCAGTTACAGGTTAAGGCTATGTCAGATTGTTTCAGATTTTAGCAGAACTGTTTAAACAGATACCAGCTTAGCAGTTGGCTGGACTGGGGCTTATGTTTCCAAATTTGAAGTCACTTAAATCAAAGCTTGAAATCCAGAGGAACTGTTTGTGTTCTTAATTAAAACTATACGAAAAAGGAAGTAGGTATCGTTGATTGAATTTTCCCCCAGTGTTTTTATTTGACGAATTCCTGCACTAATATATAATATGAGGTACATACCTGAGGGTATTCGTGATATTGCAAGGACATCTCCTGTTGCATTTAAGGCCATAAAATCCTTCTGGACACATTCTTTCTTGGCAATAAATCCCTTTAAATCCAGGATCACACATACAAGCTCCATTGACATGATAACACTTTGCACCATTTTGGCAGTCACATCTTTGTGTGCACTGAAAGCCGTATGTCCCAACAGGACACTCTTCTTGACACCTGCAATGAAATATGTGAGACAGGACACAATTAAATGCTGTACTCTAGTCTGCTTATGACTTTTACATGGGAATGTTTTTGTTAATGAATCAAGTACAAAATCATTGCTCATTTATTTAAGTAATATACTGTGAACTGATGATATCACTAGAGTGATGTGATGTCTTCGGCATGTAAATTGCTTTTAACTGAAAGTGCATTAATCTCTGTCCAATTATACTCTGCAAAATTTGCATTAGTTAATATTACCTTAGTTAATGAAGTGCATTCTTGTTTCCTGGACCTTGACAATTCCATTCATCAACCATAAGAAACTGATACAGAATAAGATACTTTATTAAAAACCCTTCATCTGTTCACTTTATTACAGAAGGATTGGGCACCTTCTTTACAAGCATATGGTCATCTTAGTAATAATAAGATCTGGAAGGAAATGTGGTCTTTTAAACAATATTAAGTAAAGTGTTCTCTAATCATGTATAGTTTTACTTCCCTTCTACACTGTCATTGCACCAGCTTTATACCAACTAAGAGAAAATATAGTCCTTTGTCTTTTCTGTGTTCTGAGTAACTAAAGCTCAAATTTCCTTTTCATGTCTCACTTCTGGGATGCTCAGTAGTATAAAATCTCAAGAAAAATCACTTTTATGCTCCTTAGTGCAGCATCTTCTCCAAAATTGCCAACATTTTAAATATTTGATACACATAAAAAATGGAACTTCTGAACACTATACACAGATTGTTTTAAATTGCACCTTCCATGCATTGTTTAAAGTATTTCCCTACTGGATACATAATGAAATCTGCCAAAAAGTCTGTTTCATTGTCCTATGCAACCAGTTTAAGTGTTCATAATATTTTCTACTTTGAAAAGCTCAACTAAGGTCCTAAAGAAAGCAACTGATTCTGTGCTTGACATAATTCAGTGGTTTCAAAATTCTGCAACGAGTCAGTCCCATAGTTTACGTGATCCACCGTGAAATACAGAGGCCTTTTCCCTTAATAAAAAAAAAAAAAAAAAAAAGCTCAATTCCCTTATCACATGGATGCCAGATATTGGAAATTGTCTATCAGCATTAATTTAATCCTGAGCATTGATTAGAGTGTATACTGTAAACTCAGTGGATAGAGGCAATTGTTAAATGTCTTTCTGCAGGTCATTTCACAGCTGGCAGGTAAGAGTTTAGTATAATGATCAGTAATAAAAGATTAATGTGTGATGCAAGCCAGGCAAAACTGCAAGGAACACAGTACGTAAGAGCATTACTTCTGCAGCTTCAGATTATCATGCCTTACCAAAAATAATTAAACAGAGCAAAAGGCCTAGACAGTGATTTAGCTGCAGTAAGCATCAACACAGTTTCTGGCTACAGAATCCAAGTTCAGGAGTTTGCATGAGACCCAAAGAGAGGAGCTTTTTGCCAAACAGGAGGGAAAGGATCCCAGAGAACCACCAGTGGCACTGGCTGCTAGCCCTGCTGCACTCAGGGTACTTCAGCTGCAGAGGAGAGAACCAGCAAAGAATGGGTAGCATTAGGGCTGAAACACTTAAAGCAAATGAAATGCAATGAAGAACATATTGAGATACCTCATGTCTCCACGGCAGTACAGGGCTCTGCTCATGAGCAGGAGAGCACTGTACTCAACGAGATGAATACTTAGTCAATAGTGCACTGTATCATTCTATATTTATAGAAGATGAAGCATTACCTAGCAGGGAGAAAAGCATCTGGAAATGAAATATTGACGACCTAATCCATTTACATAATTAGCCTTTTTCTACTAACAATTTAACCAACTTATTTATTTGGAGATCAAGCAGCTACTGCTAATGAATTTTATACAAAGAATACTAATAATGACTCCTCTGGAACATAAGAATAATCACAGCA